AACAACCTTGATGGGTCATATAACTATCAGGGAACGTTTGTTAAGTATTTCAGTTTTCCATTTACATCATGGTGTAGTTTAAAAAATGGTAGGTTCCAACAAACTAAAAGAGCCTAAGTAGATTCTGATACTAACCAACATTTTGATTTTTGGTCAGAGTTCGAGTGGTGTAAAATTTAATATATAGTAACACCATTCTATCTTCATAAATCTTGAAGTTCAACAATGTATTAATATAATAAGTGGCCCTGTACTTGAGTATCGAATAAGATGTGGGCTCTCAGTCGTGATCACAAAGCTCGACTGATGTCAAGGATATCAGCCTCACCTTTAAAATCATTCAGATGAATCTTATTGGTTAGTTCAGTTAAATTAGTTCCAAATAGAAAATTGTGATAAAGGTTTAGTGTTTAACGACAATCAAGTAACTTGCTAAAATAATACCTTAAAATCAGGCAAACTGTAAACAAAACAAGGAGAGTATTGCGTTGACCTGAGAGGACATACAGTACCATCGAGATGAAGGTGCAAGAAAAAATCTGACAGCTCAGGCGAAGCTTTAATCAATACAGTACAGTACAGCACAACACAACACAACACAATAGAATACTTTATTTACACACGTCACGTCTAAGAGCTGTACGTGCAAGCTGGTTCAAAATACGTACGTGTATTCCTAAAATACAAAGATGTACTATGGAACAGTTCATAATCCGTTAGATTGTGTGCAACAGGATAGTGCTCACATGATTCTGGTGGTAGGATGGTGACACCCATTTTGATCTGATCAGGATTATTGTTAATGAAGGATGATAAAAAAGTACAATCAGAGACGTTGAAGAGTACGGTGTTATGTTGTATTGGGATAGGGCTGTTTGGTTTTTTTTTTGTCCTTTTCCTTTCCGCTGGTTCAGATTGTCTTATCATAATGTCAACGAGTTGGTTTGTGTACAACACAAGATGTACATGCGAAGAAGGAATTTTCTAAACCAATAGTATCAACAACAACTTAGTCACTCCCCGCAAACAAAAAGTGTATTTTTCGTGTTAATTTAGTTATGCTATTATGAGTAGTCTTTTGAGACTTCCGCAATCAGGGGTTCGGCCCTTATGCATGCTTTCTTGACATATTATTTGTTTGGCAATCCGCTCAAAAC